CCTCAAATGAGTACCTGGTGCGGTGGTTAAACATCGCCACTCAGTAGACATAGGCGGCCGGGCGTGGTGCTCGCCACCCATCCTCTCGTGTGCCGTGCCGGCCTTCATAGGTGCTCACAAACAGCACTTGCCCATTCAGTCTGTTAAGGCTATACGGGGGATGTTTGTCTTTGTTTGCCTGTCAGTAACTTTTGCCGGATCACCTTTCGTATAGTTGTGATGTTTTGTCATTTTCTTTTAATGCCATATGAAAGAAGGAAATACTGCATGTGCGTGACATCGCATCGACTCGTCAATTGAAGTCTTACCTTCATGATACAAGCGTGTCGAATCGTGCATTTCATCCGTAACTTTTAAGATTTAAAATTGAAAACGAATTTCTTTAGAGATGATTTTTGTGTTGAGTTTGTTGTCCTTCCCCCCCACACCTGCGATTATTACGGTTGGCTATGTACAGGGTGAAAGAAGTTCAACATACGTACATACGGTGGCTACAATTTGTAAAAACGACGGGCGTACAATATGCATATGTCATAAATGGAACGCCTTGAATGTTGCAAATGAAGGGGATGGTGAGCACCAGGACTTGTTCAGACCTCACTCGTCGCTGATATTAGCCGTCACCGGGAAGCGATCTTGGGTAGTCAGGTTCATTGTGTATTGTGTTAACCACTGCATCACCGTTCCTCCCTCCCCTCACCCTGAGCCAAAAGCACATAAATTAACAGGTGCAACTGTTTATGAAACTCATGTGGGTGTAGTTATTTTTCTAATCTCAAATTTAGACCCTAACACAGCGCACGAGTAGACTAATGATTGTCATTGGGTCGTTACGACAAGCTGAGCAACTTAATTAACGCTTGCCAAGATTTTCGGGCAGCTGCTGGGAAATCAACCCATTGACGCTGTTTGTAAGCTCCTCCAGGCAGCCTAGCCGTCCACACTGCACATACTATTTATATATATACTATCTCTCTGTACGCGTGTACAAGTGTACTGGCCGCCTGTTTTATCTTTGGCAATGCCTCTGGGTGCACGGGAGTGCGCTCCCGCGCCACACGTGTGATGTGAGGGACCGCGTGCTTTCTAGTGACACGTGACACGTGCCGCTCACTGTCACCCCCCCCACCTCTTCGCTCCCTCCCTCCTCCCGTGCTGTGATCCCCGGGTAACGGTGCTACTTATTGGCTCTGACAGCTGATGGAGGCGGCAGCATGTGTCTCAGCAAGGTCACCTCTCCCTCCATCCCACCACTCGCTGCTAAAGCCGCCTCCACCCCCCCCCCCCCCCCGTTTCTCTTCGACTCTCACCCCCCTCTCACCCCGCCCACCCCCCCATCCTCTATCCGCTGGCTGCCACCGCCGTGTCCTTCTGTCGATGTACGTTTAAGCTCGGTCCCCTTTATCCGGCGTTCTTCCAATATTACCGCCGCTTCCACGAAAGCGGATTTACGGGGGGGGGGGGGGAGATCCTATTTCAAAAGCATCCCGTTGCTCCTTTCCCCCTTCACCCTTCCCAAAAGTCACGCCGTTATAAAACGAAGCGCTCGGAGCAAGGCAAGGGGATTTTCCTTTTGTGCCATCGTTGCTCTCGCTGCGCCGTTCCGTTGCGATCGTTCGGCACGGTCCCCGCCACGCAGCGGGGGTCGCCTGGCGCTCCCCGCATCACGCCGTCTCGTGCTGTGTGAAAGTAAAATTTCCGCAGATTTAAACAAAAAAAAACTCTAAAAAAAGATATTCTTTTCATTTTATTACCAGGTAAGTCCCACTGAGCTATGTAACTCTTTTTCAGAAGTGACCTGGCCACAAATAATTGCTCAAAAAGTGTCAGATCATGTGGAAATTTATTCCAACCAAATACTATAAACGCGTGATGTTGATTCTAAATGTTTAGGGGAAAAACCAGAGGACCTGGAGAAAAATCCAAGCGTTCGGGTCGCGATTGACCTCCCTCATACTAGGTCGGGGAAGTTAACATCTCGCCACTGTGTTTTGTGGGCGAGATCACGCGCCAACCTGTCACCCGCAAACACCTCACTCGAGGCGGCTCGCCACCAAAGCCACCGCCGCCGGGCCATTGCCCCCGCGGTGGCTGTGCCGTCCGCAAGGAACGAGATGAAATGAAATGCCGCGGCCGTTGCCGTTATCGCCGACAAGGCATCGGGCTGTCGTCGCCATGGTTGCCGAGGATCGCTCGCAGCACTAATAAATATAGCGGTGAAGCGCGGAGTCAGCCTCGTGCAGGGGGCTCCCACGTGTGAAATGAGGGCTCAATCGAGTTTTTCGAGCTGAGCCGTCCGATTATTTAAGTAATCGTTGACTCTACCGATTATGCGATGGATTACCTGGCTCGTTGGGAGAGCGCGGAAACCGTTCGGGGGGAAAACATCTCGCCGCTTGGCACGAGAGCCACTGAACGGGAGGTGTTGGCCGGAGTTCAGTGGCGCCAACCGCGTCACGCCGGGGGGGGGGTGTGGCTTGTCGGGGATGTTTCCTGCCTTTGGGGAGGCCATATACTCGACCGCAAAGAGTAGTCGATGAAAATGTTTACGCGATCTAAATCGACCGGAACGTCTTCCACTCGGGACTCGTTTATCCACTCTGTGTATCGTTGCTTCGACGGTTCTGTTTGCCGAGCCGCTACATCCGTTGAGAAGAAAAGAAGTGTATGGACCGGGGGCCGGCGAGCACCTTCAGGGGCCACCGCCGGAGTCGTCTGCGTGCGAAATGCCCTCCCTGTGCGTAAAAACCAAAAAAGTTTCAACTCCCCCCCCCCCCTTAGGGCACCCGCGGGCTGGGAATATAAATCAATGCTGGGTCTCCCTCAGCTTGCCTTGCCCCACCAAATATCGGCGTGGCGAAAGCGGGAAAGCGGCACGAGCTGCTGCTAAGACGAAGCTTTTTTATCGGTGCAGTGGCAGGAGCGTTAAACTGTGACGCGTTATCGGCTGCGGCTGAAAGAATCCAGATAAAATGTGGAAGGAGCGCCGCGGTGCGTTCGACGTGCCCGCGAGTGACACCTGGGCTTGATTCCCGCTCGTGCAGAGCTAGGAGTGGTGGTTATTCTGCCCGATCGAAGCTTTGCCGCAGTAGCTAAAAATAAAAAATAACAACCCTAGCCCTTCTCGAAGATAAATTATTTGGCGACTCTGCTGGTGTTGCTACTGCTGCGTTGGCAGTGGTGCACAAGCAACAAACAAAAAAGCGGTCAAAGAGCATTCGTCAATAATAACACTGTGTATGTGTTTGGCGTTAAAATAAAAACTTATACAGAGATGGGAACGCTTTGGACAATGGCCCGTTTTCATACGGATGTAAAAATGTTCACGGTGTTATTGATGAACGTATTATTATTCTTGGTTCTTTCGGTAAAGTCACGTAGAAGGGAAAAACTATAAAATAATACAAGTAAAACAATACCATTCTCACGACGTTATTATTTGTATTATTTTATTGTTTTTCCCTTCTACGTGACTTTACCGAAACAACCAAGAATATGAATCTCTGCAGTCCCGAAAGCTTTAAATCGAAATTGAACGTATTATTCTTGCAGCCGCTCACAGAACTGTATGTTCAGCCTGAGTTAACGTTATGATCGGGAGCTCCATTGCAGCTCCCTGCTGGCGTCACTGCAATGTCGTTTCCACTATGTATGTGCATGTTGTATGTATGTTGAACGTCTTCTGCACCGTACGTAGCCAACCGTGCTAATCGGAGGTGCGGGGGAAGGACAACAAGTCAAACACAAAAAGCAGCACCAAAGCAATGACTTTTCAAGCTATGTTATTTAAAAGTGCATGGCTCTTGTGGCTTCCTAATATCGGAAGGAAGAGTGTTCCAGAGTGCCGCAGAAGCGCATCTGAAAGCGCGCGATGCATTGACTGTCTTTGTTCGATGGTGAGCCAAAATCCACTATAATACAACAGCACAATGCATTGACATCACTCAAGTGCTCTGGTGGTGCTGTCAATCAACTTTAAATGTATTTCTTCTCACTTAACGTAGCTTGACATTAATATCGGGCAGCCCGGGACGCACAGCGTAGGTATCTTATCTGCAAGATAAAATCCAGGCTGCATTTCAAAAAGCTCGCATCTTTTATTCAACTTAAAATAGCTCCCCGGAGTGCTTGTGTAGAACCGTCATCGCTGTAGAACGTCAGCGCTGAGCAGGGAAGAGCTTCCACACGCGCCTGGCGCCCCTCGTTTTGCCGCGCCGGCCACAATAGAAGCTCGCCAACAACCACGGGGCACTCGCGGGTGGGCGGCGGTGGTGGTGGCTACGCTGCACGTGGCTGCCTGTAACCCAGCACTGCTGTGGACGCAGCAGCGAGGGGTGGTGGATCGCAGCACAAATGTTGTTGTGAAACTTGGTGGGCATCGAGGAGCTGCCGCCATCCCCTGGCTCGCCAGGACAATGCACTACAGCGAAAATGTGGACTCCACCTGCTCCGTGTGTTTGGGATAGAGCGTTCCCCCTTCGCACATGTGGGGTTTCTCCCGGTGCTCCGGTTTCCTTCCATGTGTAAACACTCATTGATTGGTCGATAACACCTCAATATATAGAGGACCGCAGAGCTTGGAAATTTTTTGTGGATTTCCAGCTCACCGCGTGGCCGCTGCTGCTGCCTTCCCGCTCGTCTTTGGTTCCTCCTTCTGGTGCCTCTGAGTCAGAGGTCGCAAACGGGTTTTGATTCCTTACCCGTACCCGTACCCGGCCGCACCAGGGTCGCAAACGGGTACCCGTACCCGTACCCGGCCGGGTACGGGTTGCCGGGTATCGGGTAGGGTACAGGTATCGGGTACCCGATTGCGACCTCTGCTCTGAGTCGTCTTCTTTTTCTCTCTGTGTCTCTCTGTCTCTATTTGAGAGTGAGCGATGACTGTGTGGTGGCATGGCGTTACAAGTTGACATTATTATTTCTATCATTTCTCTAACACGCCGCTGAGCAGGCTTAATGGTGGCGTTTGTGTTTTTGTCCGTGTCCCGTCGGTGGCGCAGGTACTTCCTGGTGGACAACGAGGGCAAGGTGGCGCAGCAGCAGGAGGGAGTGTTCCGCACCAACTGCATCGACTGCCTTGACCGCACGAACGTGGTGCAGAGCATGCTGGCACGGCGCTCGCTCCAGTCGCAGCTGCAGGTGCCACCCACCACCCAACCCACCCCCTCACCCCCCTCGTGCCCCCCCACACCCCCAGTACTGCTTCTCCCGGCACGATACAAACACCAAACACCGTGTGGAATGAGTTTCTGATTTTAAACGGTTTGGATTTGAGATTTTTTTTAAAGATAATTCTGTTTTTTTCGGATCTGTTCATTTTTAACGTGCTGTCTCGTGGACGCCGCCACTGAAATCCCAAGAACTCCGCTTGCCCGTGTTTATTTTGTCCCGGCGGCATGGCTAATTTGAAGCGCTGACTCCGACCAGACTGGGCGGGGGGGGGGAGGCGAGCGGTGGGGCGGTGGGGGGAGGGAGGTACCGGGCAGGAGTGTGGCGGGGATTAGCGCGGCGCGTGCGTGAGCCACGCGATGGGACAGCAGCTGCCGGCGTCACCGGATCCCGCTGCGGGGGTGGCTCCCCTTCCCACTCTGGGTCTCGCGTCGTCTCGGCTGCCTCCTCTTCTGGCCCCCTCGCTACCGATGATTTTTTTCGTTAAGACCTCCCAAGTGCTCGCGAACAAAAAGACAAAGGTCTCCCGAATAGCCTTAACAGACTGTTGGGGCCAGTGCTGTTAGCGAGCACCTATGAAGGCCGGCATGGTGCATGAGGGGGTTGGTGGCCAACATCACCCCCGGCCACCTTTGTCTCCCCAGCGGCGATGTTTACACACGGAACCAGGTACTCATTTGGAGCTCAGTGGACCTAGCGGATGCCCAGGACCGGTTCAAGTAATCGTCACTGGTGTTGGCCGTGAGCGGGAATCGAACTCGGGTTGCCGAATTCGTGGCACAGCGGGCTAACCACTACACAATTTCCCCCGACACACACACACACACCTCCACACACGTACTTGATGTTTAGTTGGTTTGCTTTGTATGTGTGTTCACACGCCAGCATCTGTTCATACCGGCCTTCATAGGTGCTCGCTTACAGCACTTGCCCCAACAGTTTTTTAAGGTTATATGGATAATCTTTGTCTCTTTATATATATTGTATGTGTTTGTATATATGTGTGTGTGTTTATGTTTGCATCTGTATGTTTCTTTCATCTGCCAGTCATCTCAGTTAACCCATATCATCTGGGTCTGTCGCATGACCTCTTTCCAGCGAGCCTTCAACACTTTGACGATGTCTCAAAGCGCACTTAGTGGCGAATTATGGCTGTTGTTTTTGTGTGTATTTGTGCTCATGGTGTAAAACAAGTGTGGACTCCCAACTGTTATCATCCACTCTACCTCTGCCTGGCCTCTCTATGTGCCACGAAGAAGGTTTATACACACACATGGTCTTGTTATTGACATGGAATGTACAGGGAGTTTTTTTGTTTGGTAAAAGCATAAATATGGTCCCTGTGTTGTCTCCCCGTGTGTACGCATATCCGTGTGTCTGCGCGCATCTCCGTGTGTGCGTCTCCTTATCCGCATCTCCGCGTGTGTGTGTATGCGCATCTCCGCGTGTGTGTTCCGTGCATCTGTGTATGTCTGTGTGCGCGCGTCCCCGTGTGTGTGTGTGTGTGTACGTCTTCGTGTGTGTGTGTGCGCGTGTCTCCGCGTGTGTGTACGTCTCCGTGTGTGTGTGCTCATTTCTGTATGTCTGCGCAGCGCGTGGGGATCCTGCACGCCGGCCAGAGGGTGGAGGAGCATGCCGAGTTTGAGAAGATTTACAGAAACGGTCGGTGCCCGCGTTTTATTTATTTCCCCACGGACCGCAGTTCGCTCTGCGAGCTCTTACTCGGTTTAATTGGCGACGTTTGTAATGCGCCAACCCGCGGAACCGTTCCCGCCGAGGCTTCGCACCGCAAACCCACGGGCGCGTTTCTTCGCTCGTTAATTCCTCGATTAATGCGGGCGGCTTCTCTCACCGCGGACAATCTTGCTTCTGGGCGCAGCCCCGCGTGACAAGACATGCGGTTGAACTTTGACCCTCGCGAGACAGGTACGGCATGTGCGGTGCAGCGGCACGCTGGATATTAATATTCGCTGATATTAATATTCGCTGATGTTAATATTCGCACGCCCGCATCGTCGCTCGGCGGATAAGAAGGACGTGCGGACAAACGCTTCTTTATCGCTACTCCCACCGTTTTTGTTCCCGTGAACGTCACTCGTTGATTCCCTCACCCATGCTAGAGACATTCGGTCTACGAGGCTGACTTTTGTCTGATCCACACTGTTTAACCGCCACCGCACTGCAGGTAACAACAACACGCTCGCCCACCCCCTTCACACATTCGCTCATCCACCCACTCATTTTCTAACTCACTAACACACCTGCCACGCTGCAGGTCGCAACAACACATTCGCTCACTCACCCGCCTGCTTACTTACTCACTCGGTCACCAGCTCACTCATCCACCCACTCACGCATTCGCCCACCTACTGAAGCGCTCACCTACCCACTCGCTCATCAACTCACCCACTCGCCCACTCTCACCACACTGCCAGGTCACCCCATGTCTCTTTTACCAAGCTGCCCCTTTGTCGCATTGGGCCTTTGGGTCTGTGCTTAGCAATTTTGCGGTGGGCACGCGTGCCCCGCGCGCCTCGGTGTGACGTGCGCGTGGGCGCAGGTCTGTGATCGCCGTGTTCCCCGGTGGCATGGCAACGGTGCGCTGTCATGCGTGCGTGTGTGCGTCAGAAAGAGCGATGCTGTGCGTTTTTTTTGTTTACTTAGTCATCCCAGCAACCTGGGTTTGATTCATCGATACAGTGAACGTCAGCGGAGAGTGGTATCTATATTTATTGTGGGCCTCCCCTAGGTCGACTCGACCTTAAATGACGACCTGGTTCTGTGTGTGAAATATCAATGCCGGGGAGATGAAGCCGGCCGGCCATGATGCTGCTGCCCACAACATCCCCTTTCTTCGTGCCTTCATAGTTGCTCGTTAACGCCACTTGCCCCAACAGTCTGTATGGCTGCACAGGGATCTTGGTGTTGTTAGTCTTTGTGGGTGTGGGAACAGAGTGGTATCGTATTGGCTTCTCACCGGTCAGCCCCGATCGCTTGCGTGTGATCCCTGGCTACGGACAAGTGGTACCCGTACTTGCGCTGGGTCACCCCTAGGTCAACTCAGCCTTGAATGATTTCCTGGTGCTGTGTGTGAACATCAGCAATGGGATGATACCAAAGTGGTCAGATGCGATCCCAGCCTGGCCCACCCCAGTGTGCTTGCCACACTGTGGTGTAGTTGAAGGCGCATTAATAAAAAACTCTCCAGTAGTGTGCAACTGCGGTAATCCGGAACAGATCATACAACATATAACGACGCAGTGCCCGGTTCACAAATACGAAGAAGAAAAGGAGGCGCTTGTTTAATCCGGTAGGCGTGCCCTTTTGTGGTACGATGCAGGCTGTCCGACATGGAGCCCTAAGCTTCGTTAATGAGACAAGCGGGCGTTTAGAATCATGCTTGGGGTGCCCTCGCAATGTCACTCCTGCATCACCCCCCCCCCCCCCCCCCGAGACATTTAATCCATTACAACATTGTTGTAACTCTTGCGTGTCTGATTTTTTAAATGCTTCCCTCTTCAGATTCCTATTGGACAGCTGTAAACACACATCCTATCTTGTGATTATTATAAACTCTCCAGTAATGTGCGACTGCGGTCATCCAGAACAGGCCGTACACCATCTCACGATCCAATGCCCGATCCGCAAATACGAAGGAGACATCGCAGCGATAAAATCCGCTGCTCCCTGATGCGGTTCTCTGGATTGACCACCTCAATATGAGTCTCAAAACACTCGGGAGGGTCCTGCCAAGTTTTTCGCAGTCGGGGATGATGTTGCCACTGCTGGGTATATGTATCTATGTACATTGAACTTTTTTTTCACCGTACGTAGCCAACCGTGCGAATCGGGATGTGATCCCAGTTGAGTAATTTGCGGTGTAATCTTTCTGCATTGGGATGTTTGGCAAATGCAAATTTTTTGTTTACTGTGGGAGGAAACCACAGAACCCCGGGGACAACCGAAGTAGAACAGAGGAAGAGATATTGTAGAGATATTGTAGAGATATTGTAGAGATATTGTACAAACTCCACGTAGGAAATCGAACCCCAGGGCCCTTGTTGCTACTGCTGTGAGGCGCGAGCGCCACTGCTGCGGCCACCACTCCTTGCGGCCACCACGACGGGAGTCACAGCTCAAGATGGGAGTTGTGAATTTATGTGGTCGCCTATTTCCACAGCAGTGAACTTGGTAAATGCCATTCGTTCCTGCAGCCTGCAACACGGCGACATGGCCAATCTTTGTTCTTCGTGCCAGAGCTCGCGCGTGCGCATGCACGTGCATCCGAGTACCTGGCATGGTTTCACGCGCAACCTGTGTAGCCTGCACGTTGAGCATAATTGGCGGGCCTGTGTCTAACCTGCCGCAAATGAGCACCTGCGCATCTCTACCGGCGAGCGCCAGCTTCTGCTGCCGCTCCTGCTGCTGGCGCAGGTGCGCTCATCCTCTTAGCCTGCAACCCGCCGTGCCTTTGCCAGCCGGGCAGCAGGGTGGTTGGTGGTGGCGGCGGCGCAGTGATTACAACGCTCGCACTATCACAGCGAGAAGTGCCGAGGATTTGATTCCCAACTCGGGCGACCCTTTCTGCGTGTAGTTTGTGTGTCAACAAGGACAGAGCCGGCCCAGCCACTAAGCGACCCTTGCAATTGCAAAGGGCCCCGTGGCCAGCAGAGGGCCCCCTAGAGTCACTGCTAGCTAGCGGGTGAAAAAAATAATACATCAAAGGGGCCTCCAACCAAATTTTGCTTAGGGCCCCCAAAGGTCTAGGGCCGGTTCTGAACAAGGACAATAGTCAAATAGATGCTCGCTAACCCAACCAGCTCCCGCAGCCTCGGCTGTGTTTGTGCGTGCATCTGCTGTGTTGTGTGTGTGTGTGTTTGCTCGTGTGTGTGTGTATATGCGTAATTGCTCGTGCGCGTGTGTTTGTTCGTGTGTGTGTGTACGTAATTGCTGTGTGTACTTGTTTGCTCGTGTGTGCGTGTGTTTGCTCTTGTGTGTGCGTGTTTGCTGCTGTGTAGGTTTGTGTTTGGTCGTGTGTATCTCGTGTGCTTGCGTGTCTTTGGTTGTGTGTGCGTGTTTGCTCGTGTGTGCGCATGTTTTCTTCCGTGTACGTGTGTTTGGTCTTGTGTGCGTGCGTGTGTTTCGTCTTGTGTGTGTTTGCTCGTGTGTGTGTGCACGTGTTTTCCTCTCTGTGCGTGCGTTTGGTCGTGTGTGCGTTCGCGAGTTTGCTCGTGTCTGTGTGCGTGTGCGTATTTGGTTGTGTGTGTGCATATTATCTCGTGTGTACATGCGCGTTTGATTGCTCGTGCGCGCGCACGCTCTCTCGTGTAAGCCCCGTCCACCTCGTTGGGTAGCGCTTGGACCGTGAGCCACCCATGCTTGGGCCTGGCTCCGCCGGTGTCTCATCCATCAAGGCTTTATCCCTGCCTGGCAGCTCGCCAACTTTCTCGCAATCAGTTCAACCGTAAATGTAACCGGATGTCTGACAGCCTCCTGATTCAAAGCTGTGCACACGCACGCGCGTGCGCACACCCCGTCTTCTCCGCAGTAGCCACCGCCACAGACCTCCCGACACTTACCGTGCCGTGCCAAACACCGTCCCAGGGATTTGTTGAAGAAGAAAACATTCCCAGCCGCACGTGCAGACGTTCAATTTAATGGGGCCCAGATTAATGACGCCAACACCAACGAGGCGCTCGTAACGAACAATAATGATCACATTCGCCGTAATGCAAACGGGAATGTTGCGTTTGCCGCAAAATGTTTTTGTTGTTGTGGCAGAGGAGGATGAGCCTGCCTTTGCAAGCTTGAGGTGGCGGTTGTTGGGCACTCGAAGTCGCTGGATTGGAGAGGGGGGGGGTTTGTATTTGCGGTGAAGATGGGTCCAGGAGCTGCTTAAAGTGCTGATCATAAGCAGGGCCCTGGGGGGGGGGGTGGGGGAGGATGAGGGGGATGGGGGGGGCATCGCGATCCTTGCTCGTGAGTAGCTGCATTAGTTATCCAGTGGTGAAATGAAATGTATTGTAAATACTGCGTCGATATGAGTGCAGAACAGGGGACCGGTTTTGACCCAAAAACTCTCCTAATGAATGCTACTGAAATGCTGCAAGTCCACATTGCGTAACCAGTCCCGTGGTGAGGGTCGGAACGTTCCAGAACATGCTTCGGCAACGAAAATAACAAGCAGCAGCCATTTTTTTCGAATTCGGTACAACACTCAATATCTCAAGAGGCGCAACGCATGTGAATGCTTACGTACACACACACACACACGTTACATCACGAAGCTGTCGTTAAAGAGAAGCATGTGGCTCCGGAGCCGCAGGTAGCCTACACCTGCTCGAGAAGATGGCAACCATGTGGAGGAGATACACGAGGACCTGAGGAAGAATCATTTTGAATGTTTGCGCCTAAGGACAGGCCCGCACTGTGTGGAGCAGAAGCTGCCACGGTGGCGAGATGGTAACTACCTCGCCTGGTATGCAGGAGTTCGTGGGTTCGATCCCGACCCTGACGCCTGCTCTATATTTGGCATTTGCATGTTCTCTCCGTGGTCACGTGGATTCTTCTCTGGGTCCTCTGGTTTTTCCCTCCACATTTAGAAACATGCATTTAGAGTATTTGGCTGCTAGAAATTTCCACATGATGATTAACCACTTTGCTGAGCTATCATTTGTAGCCAGATCGCTTCTGAAAAGAGAGCTGTATAAATCAGTGGGCCTTTAACTGGTTAAATAACCATTTATTTAGTTTAATTGAAATGTTTAAGAGGAGGTGGATGAGATTGTGACAGCTTAGATCATCATCATGGGCCGTCGGACTCTGCGAGAGGGTCTCAAAAGGGCTTCCCCGATTGACAGGGAGAGAGCCTTCGGACTTCCTGCTCGTCTTCGGGACGTCCAGAGACTCATTCCATCCCTGCTAAATGCGGCTGTCATAGCAGCTACGTCACCGTTACAGAGACAGCTCTCGAGGAATTGCAGCTCCAAGCGAAGTTGTGTCACTGCCCCTTCTGTGTGAACTGTAGCAGAGCAGCGGAGTGTGATGTGCCGTCTCGCATCGAAAGGTTTTGTGTTCAAATTGCTGTCTCGCCATGCTCTTGATTGCTCTTATTTTCTTAACGATACCATATATAGTTAAGGGCGCCACGGTGGGGAGAGGGCTCCACTGTGGCGAGATGTTAACTACCTACCCTGGTATATCGGAAGTCGTGAGTTCGATTCTAACCCTGACGCCTGTAGAGTTGGAGTTTTATATGTTCTCCCCGTGGTTGTGTGGATTTTTCTCAAGGTCCTCCGGTTTTTTCCTCCACATTTAAAAATGTGCATTAGAGTATTTTGCCACTCTCCATTTACACATGATGAGCCACTTCATTGAGTTATCAGTAGTGGCCAGGTCGCTTCTGAAAAAAGAGCTACATAGCTTAGTGGGCCTTTACCTGGTTAAATAACAAATAGTTGAGTCTAGTTTGAGACGAAAGACTTTTGGTCTTGTGTCCACTCGTCACCCGTCAGACCCTCACACACCTGAACTAAAGTATCGGCCGTTCTCTGCACCTCCCTACCCCCACCCCCCCTCCCCACCGAAACCCCCACACTGCCCCCCCACAGTCTGGGCCGACAATGCGGATGCTTGCGCCAAGCAGTACGCTGGAACGGGCGCGCTCAAGACCGACTTTACGCGGTGAGCGACACACGCCACCACCACAGCCGCACGAACCACGACCACCATAACCACATCCCATTGACCGTATCATCATCGCCATCACAACCGCATGAACCATCACCACCGCAATCACATCCCATTCACCACATCATCATCACCACCAAAACAGCAACCGCGTGATCACAACCGCACGACCACCGCCATCGCTTCACAGCAACCGCATAATTGCCACCATCACGGCAACCCCACGATCGCTACCACATCGTAGCAACCACATTATCACCACCGCAACCGCATGATCACAACTGCACGCCCTCCACCACAACCACATCGCGTACAGCACATGACCACTGCCACAACCTCATGGCAACTACCACAACTGCAAAGACCACCAGCGCAACCACGTCCACTGCATCTAGCAGTCTACGTGAAACACCGCGTGCCCTGTTGTATATACATATGTATGTTGAACTTTCGCACCATACGTAGCCAACCACGCTAATCAGAGGTGCAGGAGAAGGACAACAAAACTAAACACAAAAAGCAGTTCTTCAGAAATTAGGTTTCAACTTCGATTTACAAGTTCATAGCTCCAGTGGCTTCCTAATATCAGAAGGAAGAGCCTTCCAGACGGCCGCAGAAGTGCATCTGAAAGTACACGATGCAGTGACCATATTTGTTTGATTGGCGAGCCAAAAGCCGCGGCTGCGAGGCCGACCTGAGTTCACGAGATGGTTTATGCTCCTTGGCGCGATAACGCTCCGTTGTGCGCGCGCACGATGAACTAAACGCGCACGTTAGCGACTGGGCGACAGCCCCGCGACGTGGTGTCACATTTTTCTGTCACAAGGGAGACACGGGATAGCTTGCTACTTTGCAAAGCTCGACGCCGCCTGAAGAAACTCCACTCGCACTCCTGGTCCACTCGTGCACCAACGAGATCGCTCTGAGCTCTTCGGATTGCCGTCTTCTCAGTACTCCGAGGTCAAGGCTCGTTTCCTGTAGGGGTGATCGAGCTTTTGCCAGTGCAGCTCACAAGCTCTAGAATGCTTTGTCTTTGATGATAAGACAATCAGAGCCCCCCTTGAAAACTCACCTCTTTAAATTGGCCTTCACCCCCTAGATCTCGGCCAGTGTTTTTCACTAATTTTCAGAGGAGGGGGGCCCGCTTTCGCTGATAAGACATCATCAGAGGGCTGCCACGCATTTGAAACCATTGTTTCACTCCTATAACTACCTGTACGGTCACTTAGGTTTAACTTCTCCCCCTCGTATCTACTTTACACCTCACTTATCCTGCGCTCGGCAGCTCTGCTCTCAGCGACTCCGCACACAGCATAGTCGCACACAGCGTCTCCGCACACAGCAGCTCTACAACTCCACCGCTGCCCGCACCGATGCTCCCTCAGACCCGCTCACCCGCCTGACCCGGGCGGGGGGATTAGCCAACACCCGCCCGGCGACGCGTGAGGTTTGACAGCTCGAGCGACAGCGGCGAGATGTCTTCATTCGTGTCCCCAGCAACAACTCCCCGCTCCGCTCATGCACATGCCCTTATATCCCCCTGCCAATTACCCGAGACCTCTCGTGTGTCTCTTTAAGCTCAGCCGGGCTGGCGCCTGTTTGCCCATCAATCAACCCTCTCCCGTCTCCATGGCAACACCTCCGGTTTTGAGGTGCACTACCGGTCGACCCCGTTTGCACCTGCTCTGCTCTGCTCTGCCCCTTAACAACTGGCAGTTTGCCCGTGCAAACCTCACGTGCGCACCCGTTTGCCCTCAGTTGCCCTCGGCTAATTGTGCGCACCGCGTATTTCACTCCTCTACACATACATGGCCATTGGGATCTACGGATGAAATGCGCCTTGCATATGTAAATTATTATGAATCACCCCCCCCCCCACTCTCTCACCCACCTCCTCCCCCCACCTGCCCCTCGCCCGACAGCACGGGCAAGCGCACCAAGCGCGGTCTGCTCATGGACGGTTGGAACTCCATGATCCGCTACTACAAGAACAACTTCTCCGACGGGTTCCGGCAGGTGAGCTTGCCGCAGGCTGGTGAGGGACGCAGGTTCACAGCCTACCGGGGGGATGCCACCGTTTGGGCTGCGGTGTTCCCAGAGGCCCGGTGTACGCCGTAACGTTGCGAGCACGCGAAGCCGTGGGTGGAGCGGCGGTTAACACTCTGTGAGACGATAAACTTTTTTATTTTACCAGGTAAGGCCCATTGAGCTACGTAGCTCTTTTTCAGAAGCGACCTGGCCACAAATGATAGCTCAACGAAAGTGGCTTATCACGTGAAAATGTATCGTCAGCCAAATGCTCTAAAAGCACATTGATTATAAACGTGGAGGGAAATCTGGAGGACCCGGAGAAAAATCCATGCGACCACGGCATGGAATAGAAGTTCATGGAGAAAAGGAAACCCGAGTGGCTGACCCCCGATGTGATAATGGGACTTCTGGCTTCGAAGACGTGAGGTCGCCAATTAGGCCTCTCCTCATGTACTATTGTAAAAAATATATAAACTATTTTTGATTTTGCCACCGAAGGCCCACTGAGCTATGTAGCTCTTTTTCAGAAGCAGCCTGGCCACAAATGATAGCCCAACGTGTAGTGGCTTATCATCTGGAAATTGAGGCCACTATTCAGACTATGCTAGCAGAGGCCATCGTGGTTCAGGACCAGTCCCACCAATAGTGTAGTTCACTATTCAGGTCCCTGCAGGTGGTACCACTGTGCTGGCCACTACAGGCCGGGTCACTATGAATATGCTCACATGCCACTGTGTAGGCTCCAACAGTTGGGGTGCCACGGTGGCAAGATGTTAACTACCTCGCTCGATATGCAGGAGGTCGTGGGTTTGATCCCGACTCTGATACCTTTGTATTTGGAGTTTTCACATCTCTCTCTCCCTTTGGCCGTTTGGATTTTTCTTGTGGTCCTCCAGTTTTTACCCTCCACATTTAGAAATATGCGATAAGAGTATTTGGCTGTGATGAATTTCCACACGATAAGTCATGTCATTGAGCTATCATCTGTGGCCAGGTCGCTTCTGAATAAGAGCTAAATAGCTCAGTGGGCATTACGTGGTAAAAATGAAAAATAGTTAAGGTTTTAGTTTTAGTTGGAGCTTGGAAGGTCGCCAATTCTGTGATTGCACGGTATTGACACTCTGTCCACACCGTCGGCATCCGGACGCCGCTGTGACTGCAGGACTGTTGAGTAATGGGAAGCGCAAACAGTTTGCGTGATCCCTGCCCTCTCACCCCGGGGTGACCTCTCCTTGCCCTCCTTCTCTCCCTGCTGAATATGACGACCGCAAACCGCCGGTTCAGGATTCCATTGACCTCTTCCTGGGCAACTACGTGGTGGAGGAGGCAGAGAGGGCCACGCCGCTGCTGCACGAACACAAGGACTGGAAGTTCATGGCCGTGAGTGTCGTCTCGCATTCCACGCCCGCACGGGTCCGCACCAACACGCGCGCATGTGCTGCCTGCCCCCCCCCCCTCGTGCGCCGTGCCCTCCATCGACTGGACATCGGTGAAAAAGAGCTCAATAGCTTTCATTCAGTATGAATAGAGATTCTGATTCGTAAGTGCTACTTGTGAACGGCACTTGCCTCAATAGTCACTCTAAGGCTACACGGGGGGGGGGGGTGCATTGTTGTCTTGTACATGATTGTCATATTTTTTTAGCTTGTAATTTTTCTTGAAAGTTCACAATGAAAAGTTTTTTTTAATTGGTATTACCCATGATTGTAGAATGCTTTCACGAGTAAATGACAGCATGTCAAACACAAGACGTCATTGTCCTGTGACAGCATGGGCGTTATCAGCGTCATAGATTGTAAGGGTGCAATGATTAGAAGACTCATGGCGGGCCGTGTTAAGTGAACTGCAGTTGAATAATTTATAAAGCAATCTTTCTTGATTCCCTTTTAAAGTACATCAAAGCAGAGAAAACAAGGCGATAAAAATGTGAAATGCTCGTATTTAGTTTTTTATCGCGGCATCATTGCCGTTCATACAAATTGCTTCTCCCGATCGCCAAGGATCCACAGACAAGTGGGAAACCAGCAAGCAGGCGGCGAGGAGCTGGCGATAACAACAGTTGTCCACACTTAATGAGTTTTTAAACATGTGGGAGGAAACGGGAGCACGCGGAAAAAATCAACGCATACGAGGAGAAAACACTCTATCCTGTACAGTATAGAGTGTTGTGTCTGCACTTAGCTGTGTACCGTCTTCTCCCGGCAAGCCAGGGCATCTCCTCGATGCCCATCGAGCGAATACAATTATTAGTTAAAGTTAACTGATTTTGCGATAATTGTCACGTTAAAACTTATATTGCTGACGCCCTAATTGTTATTATCCAACTTGTCAGCATGGGTTATTTCGGCTCTTCCCAATTTCCTCATTCATTGGCATTGGTCAACTATCCTAATGCAGATCACTAGCAAAAATCATCATTATCAGCCATGATCAATCCACCCCCCAACAATCCTGCGAAGCAACGATCCACCAATCTCCAGCGCACGTGCCGACTTTCATTGCTCCATCAGACGCACTGTTGTGAGCGTTCGTTCCCGGCGTGCTGCTGCTGAGTGAATAATTAAACGAAAGTAGAAGAAGAAGTTATTGCCTTGAAATAAGACGCTCCCAATCCCTCCGCGTGCTACGGGTCGTCACGGCAGTGGCACACCATGACAGCCCGCGGTAATTTGGTTGCCGCGAGAAGGAAATGCAGACGAGCTCAGCCCCGGGGCCCCTCGGTGTCACACAATCAAGCGGCTCAAATGAGCCCTGCCGCTCCTCACCCAATTTGTGAGCGACTGGAGAAGATTGGCCGCCAAAGGCGAGAGATGGATTGAGTCCAGACTCCGTTGCGCTTTTGGAGGTGTCGCTCTCAGATATGGAGCCTCGCATTAAAGCTGCTCCTGCTGCTGCTGGCGTGTGCACTTTGCGAGCTCTGACACGGGGGTGCACGCGTGGGCACAGCGTCCCTGGAAGATGAAATTCAGCGATTAAACGCCAACTGTCACGCTTCAAATGACTCGGGTTACATTTGCATAAATAGATACCTACGCATGAACATAAAACAACAGCAGCCGCCATTCGCCACGAAGTGGCGGTGTTGACGTCACCACAGTGGTTGTGCCAGCCTGAGATGCGTTTCGGAGGAGCGACGCTCGCAATAACGAGCGGAGCGCCGGGGAGGATAAAACGCAGCGAGGTGGCACAGTGAGGAGCACAGCTGGTGGCAGTCATCTCATGAGTCGGTCAACCCAGAGCACCTGGGTCTGTCCCGTGATCTCCTGCCAGCATTAAGCCTTAAGACACCCAGCCTGCCATATACATACACACAAATGCACACACACTGAGATGATTCAAAACGTACCTACGCTCAACAACAACCGCCATTCGCCACTAAGTAGCGGTGACGACACCACGGCGCTTGTGCCTGGCTATGTGCACGTTGAGGCCACGTGAAGTGTCAAACGCCCGCTGGCAGGAGGTCACGGGGCAGACCCAGGTGCCACGGGTCGACTGACTGAGATGACTGGCTGATGCACCACCTGTGCCCCCTACTGTGCCGTTGTTGTGAGCGTCGCTCCTCCGCCCTCCGTTGTTGTTGGAGGGCGACTGCCTCCAACTGCCCAGTAGCGAGCCTCCTCCACAGAGGCCGATCCTGACACCGCTGGTACCAGTCATCAGCAAGTCCACTCAGCTCCACGTCCTCCTGTACCACATCACTCCATCTCTTCTCTAGACTGTGCCGCGCCCGTTTAGCCCCCACTATCCGGCCGAACAAAAGCTGTTTAGGCATGTGGGCTACGTGACTCAGCCAACGCAGCCTTGCCTGCCAGAGAAGCTCACCGATGGGACTTTGTCCAGATCTTTCAAGGATTTGTGAGCTCCTCACACAATCCAGCCTGGTTAAACCCAGGATGGATCGTAGGCAGGCCAGTCTAACTGTTTCTAACCGTCGAAGATGTTCCGTTAGGGGGGTCCACGTTTTGCAAGCATAGAGAAGTGAGGTAATAACCGTGGCCGAGAAGACCTGAAGCTTCGTGCAGAGCGACAGATCAGGTAGCTTCCACACAGCGTTTCGCAACCGATGAAAAGATAATGTTACTCGACTGATTCGGAGTGAGACCTCTGCTGTCAAACTGGAGCCGATCATGAGCACACTGCCCAGGTATGGGAAACGCTCCACTCTCTCCACAACTGCCCCATCACTAATTGGGAGTTGTGGGGGTGGAGTGTCCAATGGTACAAAATACCCAGGCAGGTGCTTAATTTTGGTGGGGCTGATGGTAAGGCCCTACCTCTTGGTGGCACGCTCAAGGTTCAGCAGCAGCGCCTCCAGCTCCTCTGAGTGAGCGGCAATTACCAGATCATCGGCATACATAACGTGGTTGACCAATAGGGAGCCATCCCTTGACCGCACCCGGGCATCAATCATCCTCCCATTGTATCTGTACCAGATGGAAATTTCTCCGGTACAGCCATAGAAGGCTTCACGAACTACATGGTCGAAAAGATCTTAAATAATGTGGGAGCCAGAGGACATCTCTGTCGCCACCGCAAGGTGAACAGGGAATGGTTCTGACTCCCGGCCACGTAGTTTTACTCGGGCCCGCTCACCATCATGAAGGTCCATAATGATCGTGCGCAGCGGGTCAGTGACTCCGAAAGCACGAAGATAAACCCAGAGCCCAGGCCTACTGATGGTATCATAGGCCTTGACCAGGTCAATAAAGCAGAGATGTAGGTTTTGTTGGAATTCCCTACACCTCTGCTGTAGCAGATAGACAGAAAATATCGCATCTGTGCAGGACCGCCCTTTCCTGAAACCGCATTGGGGCTCCGCAAGCCTCTCCTCAGCGTGCTTGGCAAGTCGATGTTGAATAATCCTTGCCAGGACCTTTCCCGGCACACTGAGGAGTGAGATGCCCCTGTAGTTGTTAGTCTGTGCGGTCCCCCTTGTTAAAGAGGGGGACCACCAGGGCATTCTTCCAATCCTGCAGAAACCGTCCAGTGGTCCAGACTGTTGTTATGATGTCATGTCGGGCAGTCTGTGCACAAACGCCACTCTCCCTCAGGATTTCGCTTGGGAGATCATCTCTGCCCGGTGCCTTTCCTGGTCTCAGACTCTGGATCGCCTTCAGTACTTCCTCAACAGATGGCACCTCAGCCAGCTGCTCTCAGGGGGTGACTTCTTCCAATATTTGAGACACCGTAGCCTCAGCAGGGTCATCCCCACTTTGTCCCACGATGTTTTCTATGCCGAGGGATCCCCGTTTTTTCTCCTAATGATGGTAATAGGTTTGGCGCTGCAGGTTACTTTTTTGATGGGGTTAAATAGAGATTTGTGATCGCGGGCCATTGAGGCAGACTCCATCTCCTCAGCAACCCGCAACCACCACCCATCCTTGCAGAGCCTCATGGCTCTCCGAACCTCCGAGCGAAGGCTGCGGTAAGCCTCCTCATTCTCTGACGTTGGATGCTGTAGACGATGAGAGTGGGCCTGTCGCTTTTTCTCAGTCAGCTTGAACACCTCTGTCAGCCAGGGTCTCTGGGGAGGTCTGGACCGTGTACCCAAAGCAGCTATTGCAGCTGCATGAGCCACAGTCCTAAACCTCGCCCATTTCCCCTCGACATCAGGAGGAGTGGGGGACGATGCCAACCCCAGCCGCAAGCGATGATGAAATTCTCGCTTGCAACTTTCATCAGCTAGCTGAGACCAGGCCACCTTGGATTTGAATGGGGTCCTGGGTGTACACCCACCACCGGAGTGGAAGAATGGCAGGCACATCTTACAGATGACAAGTCGATGGTCAGTGGGCAGATTAGCTCCACGGTAGGTCCTGGTGTCAAGGACATGGGCCCGCATCCGCTGTTCCGTGACTACGTAGTTCAGTAGATGTTCTTGCTTGGACCCGGCATGCATCCATGATGTTGTGTGGATGCACCGATGCCAGAACAGTGTGTTGGTAATTACAAGCCCATGGGCTGCACAAAAATCTAGCAGCCTCCTACCGTTGTTATTGAGCTGATCTGGCCAATGCCTTACAATCACTCCAGACCAGGTGCCAGCATCATGACCAACTCGGGCATTGAAGTCGCCCAACAGGATGACTCTATCCCGAGGGGCCACTTGAGTTAGCACCTGTGACAGGAGGTCATAGAAGCCATCTGACTCATCGGCCTTGCCTGCATCCCTCCACGGATGTTCGTCTTCGGTGGGGGCATAAGTAACCACGACCACCACTCCTCGCCTCCGGTTGATGGGAAGGCGAGCCCAAAGTAGTCTGGGGCTTACAGCTTCCCACACCTCACCGCCACCCTCCCACGCCCCCTTCATTCTTTTGTCCAGAAGATGATCCACTCCCTGCTGTTTGGTGGTCTCCTGGCCCGAGTAGAGGACTGTCCACCCCTCATGGTGGCAGGGGCCAGAGCCGGTCCACCGGACCTCCTGAATACCACAGAGATCCAGGCGGTACCGGTCCAGCTTCCGACAGAGGAGTGGCAGCCTCTCCTCCGCAGTGAGCGTTCGAACATTCCATGTGACCACCCTCAGTGGTTTTCTGTTGTTTCTGGAGGAGCCCCGAGGGTAAAGATTCAATCTCCTGGCTCCACCAAATGGGGCCAGGAGACGTTATAGACGCCTGTCCCCCCGAGGCCTCCGGCACAAGCTTATTAATATATATTATAGACGTGGTTTTGTGGTAATTAATTGAAGGTGCAAGGGTTACCAGCCCCTCGCACCCGTCCAGAGCCCCCATTGGGCCACTGTGGTTGTTACAAACGCTATGAGGGGAATGGCCCTCCCCCCACGGCACGGCCCACCATAGCGTTGCCCTCCGGCACCACGAGGAGGTAGGGGGTTGTTTTTGCACACACACACACGCCGTACATAGACACATGCACACCATACACACACACACCCTGCTAGGTGACTCTTACCAATGAGACTCCTATCCTTGTCTCTCGAGTTCTCACCTCGTTAAACAAACAGTACACTTTACTGACAGGCCTTCATCCAGCAGTGGAATGACAAGGGTTAGAAGGGGCGGTAAGTGCCGCTGCAGATGCACGCCTCTCGAGTTTGTGGTCGCACAATCGTATTTTATCATGAAATGAGTGAGCGGGACAAATGTTTATTACTATTATGGCATGTGCGCATTGCGGAGTATTTAAATAATGTATGACCACCACTTTTAATGGTTTACAACTCGGTTTGAAAGCCCTTAATCCATGAGCTCCATCCATCCATCTGTACCGTTCCGGGGGGGCGGGTGGTAGGCACTGCAGCTCTCGTAAAGATGCTCTAGTGTGCACGGTGAAGTCGTGTTGCCTTGGGAAACTTCATCATCGATTGGACCGCCGGCCTCAGCGATCAAAGGGTTCGTGCTCAACACTTGGAGACATAATCCACAGCGAACAAAAATGGGCTGTTTGCAAATACGCCAATGCATTTGCCCCCCCCCCCCCCCTTTTAACCTGACAGTTGCCCTGTCAGATGTTTGTTACCGATCACGTGCGCATGGTAAAAACATATATATACGTGGATTCCGCAACGGTATTGCAACGTGCGTGAGAAAATGAACGCACGTTGCACGTTGGTGCAGGATCCGCGGTGTGCGGGGACGATTTTTTTTTCTGCTCGTCGTGTTTACGCGCGTGAATGACTCTCCTCCTCCTCTCTGTCCCCATCTCCGCCCTCCCTGTGCCCTCACAGCTGCCCATTGTCATGGTGGTCGCCTTCTCCATGTGCATCATCTGCCTGCTGACCACCGGTGAGCAAAGCGTGCGGGAGGAATGGGACCCTGGAGGGAGGGGGGGTTGGGGGGTGGTGCGGTGTTTGTGTGTGAAACGTAGGGGGGAGCGGTGGTGTCACGGTGAGCGTTACTCGATCGACCCGAGTTCGATTCCCACTTACTGTTGCCACTACTGACGATTATTTGAAATGGGCCTGGGTCTCCCTCGGTCGAATCAGCCTCAAATGAGTACCTGGTGCGGTGTGTAGAAATCATCGCCACTAGAGAGACAAAGGTGGCCGGGCGTGGTGTCTGTCACCCACCTCCTCATGTATCGTGCCGGTCTTCATAGGTGTTCGCTAACAGCACTTGCTCCAACAATCTGTCAAGGCTATCTTGAGGATCTTTGTGTGTAAAAAGTAGTGGAGGCTGGTAGTGTAGCGTTTAGCGCTACACGATCCACACGAGTTCGATTCTCACTAACGGCCAACACTACTGACGGTTATTTGAAATGGGGCCTGGGCCTTCCTTAGGTCGTCTCTGCCGCAAATGAGTTTCTTGTGCGGTGTGTAAACATCGGCACTCGAGAGACAAAGGCGGCCGGGCGTGGTTTTGGCCACATCACCCCCTCGTGTGCCTTGGTGGACTTCATAGGTGCTCGCTAACAGTACTTGCCCCAAAAATCCATTCAGGCTATATGGTGGGTTGGGGGGGGAGGACTTTATGTTTGTGTATGTGAATTGTAGGGAGCGGTAGTGGAGTGGTTCACGCACTGCGCGATGAGACTTGTCCTGGTCTGGTGAAGTTGAACTTGAAAGTCACACAAACACACCCATGCTGCAATAACATTACAACCACCGTTCACAAAGTGGCGGTGATGTCTGGCCTTCATAGATGTTCGCTACAAAGTACACACACACACGCAACAAATATATAAAGATCCCCCGTATTGCCTTAACAGACTTTTGAAGCAAGTGCAGTTAGTGACCAGCACCACGCCTGGCCGCCTTTGTCTCCTTAATGCTGATGTTTACACAGCACACCAGGTACTCATTTGAGGCTGAGTCGACCTAGGGGAGGCCCAGGAACGGTGCAAATTATCGCCACTGGTGTTAGTCGCAAGCAGGAATCAAACTCGGATCCCTGGGTTTGTAGTGTAGCGCGCTAACCGCTACACCACGCACGTGTGCGCATACAAACACACGGGACGAACGCGCGCACACAAGACGAACACACGCACACACACACAGGGGCCGAACACACACACAAACACGAGACGCACGCACACACACAAGACAACACGCACACACAAGACAACACACACAAGACAACACACACACACAAGACGAACACACGCACGCACACACACACACAAGACGAACACACGCACACACACACGAGACGGACACGCCGATAATTGTCACTGGTGTTGGCCGTGACCGGGAATCAAACTCGAATCCCCGGGTCCATAGGGCAGCGCGCTAACCACTGTGCCACCAGTCCTCACACACACACACGTACACACACTTCCCCTATTACCCCCCCAAGGTGTGCCTGCTCACGCAGCGTTCCAATATCAGCACAGACGGGACACGGGTGGACGGGCTTTGTTGCTGACCCCTCTACCCCCTCCTGTGCCATGCCAGCTTTAATAGGCGTTCGCAAGCAGCACTTGCCACAACAATCTCCCAGATTCAACAAGGGGGATCTTTGTTTTTGTTTTATCCGTTGTGTGTGAGTGGTGAGCGGTAGTGTGGTGGTTATCGCACTGCGCTACAAAGCCGGAGACTCGAGTTCTATTCCCACTCACCCCGACCAATAACGCTGGTCCTACGCCTCCCCTAGGTCGACTCAGCCTTAAATGAGTACCTGGAGAGGGGTTTAAACGTCATCAGCACTGGGGATACAAATGCGGCCGGACGTGGTTTTGGCCACACCACCCCCTCGTGTGCTGTGCCGCCCTTCAAAAGGTGCTCACTAACAGCACTTGCCCCAACAGTCTGTTAGAGACTATACGGGTGATCTTTGTCTTTGTACTTCACCCGGTTGCCTGCCGTTCCTCAGCCAGACACCGATCTTATCAAGGCATTGCAGAGGGCTCTGGATCGGCTAAAAATACAAAGTCAGAGCCACAGCGTCTGCTTGGCAGCCCCGGGTGCCAAACGCATTAGAGCAGCAGTTGAGGTGTTTATCAAAAAAAAATGAACCAGAACAAGAGAAACTGTCGCCCCCTCCTTGGCAGTAGAATGCGTAGTCCAGGTCGGCGATTAAAGGGCATGGAAAATGTGGAGCGACCAGGTGGCCTGGCTCGGCTAATCGTGGCCTCCGTTGTGTGTGGGCAGCCACTGGTGACCAAACTGGGTTGCCAAGTGGAGCGGAGCTGATTGGTTTGGCCCGGTGGTCACCGATGACTGCACAAAACCACCCCCTCCACTTCCCCCCCCCCCTTCCCCACTTTCAATTTAATTTGGTTTAATCCGTTATTGGGGTTTAATCCAGCTGTGAAAATGTAAAACGCCAGTGTGATTGTGCACGTACATATACGGCAGCGTCCTCTTGGCTATCCGCTGCTGGATGAAGCCATCCGCAAGCCGTGCTGATTGTGGGGGTGCGGCGGAGGGGGGGGTTGTTTGGCCGCACTTCACCGTGCCGGTCAGTGTGGGACTGGTGAAGGCAGGAGTGGTGGCGCAGCGGTCAAGCGCGGCTGTGGTACGAATCCAGCCGACCCGAGTTTGATTCGGGCTCATGATAAATAACATTGGTGAATGTGTGAACCGGACCTCAGCCTCCCAGTATCTGGTGCTGTGTGTGTACAACAGCATTGAGGAGACAAAGGCGGCCGGGCGTGGTGTTGACCACCTACCCCTTCAAAGGTTCTTGTGAACAGCACTTGCCCCAACAGTCTGTCCAGGCTATATATGCGGGGTCTTTGTGAAGGCGCAGGGAGGGTTGATGCGGATGCTGAGACGTTGAGAACGATGGATTTTACTGCTGCGCCGCCCTCCGCCTCAAGGGAATAAATCGGTGCCCAACCTCCAGAGGTCACAGAGAGGTCTTCAAAAGTAGTTCTGTAACAACGTCGGTGGCTTTGGCGCTCCTACGCAGAGCGGTGCACTGCTATCCGCGAGCGTTCCAGATGCCAAATCTATTCTTTCCGCATCACCGAGCGGCAGTGCCGCGGGTGTAGTACGCTTGGCCAAACAAAAGCAAAGCGCAAACCTCGTATAACAACAACTGGGAGGTTGACTCCGCAGTGGTTGTCCTATGGATGGACTCGCCCGTGCCATAGGAATGTGGACTTTCCACCACTGGCTCGGTTTTTGAGCTCTTTTTTTTTTTTTACACGTAACACACGCTCCCACCGAGCTGCAGGCTTACGTGCCGAGCCGTTGAGCCGGTGCGGCTCGACGTTCCATCACAGCCGGCAAAGCCACGGGCCCAGCGAGCCCCCTCCCACCACACGCCCGCCACGCCGTTCGCTCCCTCGCCGAAAAATCACGCTTCATCGGACCGAAGCGTAAAAAAAAGAAATACACAAAGCGGCCGTCGCCGGAGGTCAGCAGATGTTGAAGAATGGCGAGCGTGCGGCGGAGGGACATACATGAAGCGGCGAGGTTTTAAACTATTGACGCGTGTGGTTTTGTTATTTTCGGTAAGTGGGGGGGGGGAGCACAGGCGATGGAAGTAGCGTGGCGGGCGAGCGAGCGAGATGCTCGTCGAAGCGACAGGAAGCGCTAAGAAGCCTCGTGGGCGGTCGCTTTATGGCACCGCGAGAGTTCGTGGACCCCTGCCGGGGTTCTCTTCGCCTGCTCCCTGCGCGGCTCCCCCGCCCTCGCCCCCCCCCCCCGTCTCTCCCCCTATGCGGATGGAAATAGCCGGGATAAGTGGTACTGGGAGGGCGACCAAGCCCCGTGACAAGGGGCAGGGCACAGCGCCACCCAGCAGGGCTGTGCTTTAAAGCGAGTGATTCCTCATTAGCTGGCTCCGGTCCTCTCTGCGTGAGTGCCATGTGCGCGGTTTGTGGGACAGGTGAAGGCACCTAGAGGAAACGCGATGCTCGTTCCAAAAGCAAAGCCGACCTGTTGTGGTGGCTGAGTGCAACCCTGGCTGTGCTGACAGTGGCATCGCCACCGCCATTCGAGCGCTAGAGGTGTACTTAACGTTGGAGGAAAAGGAGGAGGAGGAGGGGGGATGGTGGTGATGATGATGGTCCTCGGGTGTGAGAAGCTTGGACAGCAGTGTTATGTTGTTTGCCCTTGTGTTTGTGCGCATGTGCGCGTGTCTGTGTGTGCACGCGCACGTGTGTGTGGGGTGTGAATGTGGAAGGTTGTGTGTGTGGAGCGGTGGCAGAGTGGTGTTAGCATGTTGCAAACCCGGTGAGTTCAGGTCCTGGCCTCGGCTAATATCCGTGGCGAATGGTGATCTGAGCCAGTCCCTGGCCCCCCTTTTACCAGCCTGCACGATGGGATGGGTCAGGAAACCCATATAAAAGTGGATTGACATAGGTCTGTGTGAATCACAACAGCACTTTGCCAAACAGTCTCCTTTTATATAATGATGCCTGCCAACGTCTGCGCGACCGAATGTGTGAATGCACAAGTAGTGGCAGGGCGCGCGTGCCCTTCCAGACACGCGGGTGGCGTACGTGCACACGGGTATCGTCAACAGTCGCCCCGTGACAACCGGCCAGAGATTAACTCTCCGGTCCACTGTGGCCTGAGCGATGATGACGATGTTGCCTGGCGCAAGTGCATGTGATGTGCGCATACGTGTGTGTGTTTGTCTCGTGTGTGTGCATGTGCGTCTCGTGTGCGTGCATGTGCATGGTGTAGCGGTTAGCGCGCTTCGCTACGAAACGTGTGACCTGAGTTCGATTCCAGCTTGCGGCTAACACCAGTGGCAATTATCTGTACCGGTCGTAGGCCTTCCCTAGGTCGACTCAGTCTGAAATGCGTACCTGGTGCAGTGTGTAGTAAACATCGCCACTAGGGAGACAAAGGCGGCCGGGCGTGGTGTTGGCCATCCCACCCCCTCGTGTGCCGTAGCTTCATAAGTGCTACTCACTAACAGCACTTGCCCCAACAGTATGTTAAGGCTATACGGGCATCTTTGTCTTTGTGGGCAACGTTGGTGCAACGGTGAACACACTGCTCCGAGTGCAGCAAGCTGGCATTGATTGCCGAGCCATGTGGCAAGTGGTCTGTTTGTATCTGTCCTGCGCAGACCGTGGTTCAATTATAATGACAATTACAGGAGCATTGTGGGCTGAAATTTGTGAGTGCAGTGACATAATTACAACTGTAATTGACACCAGGTCTGGTTCTTCGGTGGCGAGATGTTAACTACCTCGCCTGGCATACAGGAGGTCGTGGATTAGATCCCGACCCAAACGCCTGTGTATTTGGATTTTGCGTGTCTCTCTCCTCGTGGTCGCGTGTTTTTTTTTATCCGGGTCCTCCAGTTTTTCCCTCCACATTTAGAATCAACATGTGTTTGTAGAATGTTTGGCTGCCATAAATTTCCACACTATAAGCTACTTCGTTGAGCTATCATTTGTGGCCAGTGGGCCTTAACTGGTAAAATAAAAAATAGTTTAACACGTAGGCTTGGCTCTCCAACACATCGGTGTGCTGTACTAGTGACGAATTGGCATGTTCTGTTTACGTGACAACCCTTACTAGTTGGCTGTGTCGGGTGGTGGCGGGTTTTAACGACACGATCTAACCCAAAAAACCTCTAATAAAAATTAAAAATGTTTCTTTTTTAGTTGTCACTGAGTACCCTGTGTAGTGTGTAAACATCACAACACTGTCTCCCCAGTTTTTCATTGCCTCTGTTCCATTCTCTGCTCCCCATATTCCAGTCCATGTCCTGCCCTGCGTTGTGGTTCCCATAGGATGAAGATACCCTAAAAAAATGTGTCTTTAAAAACGAAATGCCATTTTTTTCTTGTTGCTTTTTTTAACTTTTATTGAAACAACCCCGAAACAGCGCGGACGTGCGGCTTGCGTCCACGCTGTACTTTTAACCTTGTCCCTGTCGTGCGATTGCGCGTGCGCGTGCGTGTGCGTGCTTCCCTGTCGTGCTTCCCCAGGCGACACGTTCACGGAGACGCTGGCCTACCTGGCGTTCTGGGCGAGCGCCGGTGCCGTCACGGGTGCCGTCATCCTCTACAACGGGCGCGAGTTTGTCGACGCGCCGCACCTGGCGCACAAGGAGAAGACGGACTGAACGTGCGCGTGCGGGAAGGGGCTCACGGCCGGGCCCGCGCCTCCCGAGCACTCGCCACCTCCCTTCTGGAAGCTCTACTGATCCAATTGGGGTGGGGGGGGGGGTAATCGCCCACCGCCATCCGCAATGGGGACCGCCCGCCCGCCCGCCAGCCCGCTCGTTCCGCTCGTGAGAAGCTGGGTTCGTTCCCCCTTCTCGACCGATCTTCGGCCATTCCGTGACCGATGTGGGACCGTTTCGGGACCGTTCCGGGATCCATTCTTTGATCATTCCGGGACCGTTCTGTGACCGTTCCGGAATCGTTCCGTGATAGTTTTGTGACCATTCCGGGCCGTTCTGGAATCGTTCCGTGACCATTCTGGGACCGTTCCCGCGATCATTCCTGAACTGTTTCCGCGATCATTCCTGAACTGTTCCCGAACCGTTCCGTGACCATTCCGGGGCCGTTCCGCGACTGTTCCGTGACCGACCTGGAACTGGCGCGCCGTGAGGGGGGGGTGGGCGGCGGGAAGACAGGTGGCGCTATTTCCCACACGCAGCGACGGGGATGCCGGGCGGCCCGGCCTTTGATCGGGGAGCGAGAGGGCGGCACCGTTCCCGTGTACCCGCCGTCAAAATTACTCCGCGGGCCGGTTTCTAGAAGTGGTCACGGGCTTTGCCGTGCAGCGGCGAGCTCAGCGGCTTGCTTGACGGAGCGAGGTTGTGGTGGTTGTGGTTGATCTCGGTGCCAGCGACTATTCGACTCTTGTTTTGCGACCCCACCCCCTCCGCGGAGTAATTTGGAACGCGGCGTAACATGGCCCTTGTGCTTCTGGAAATATTTGGTTAATTCGTTCGGTTGAACGTCGGCCGGTGCCGGCACTTTGCCACGGTGCCAGCGCCGACGTCAACGCGGGTGGTGGTGGTGGTGGTGGTGGTGGGTGAGGGTGCATGCTGGCGGGTGCTGGGTGAGGAGGCGGACGAGGCATTTTGGAGCAAGACCTTGGGGCTGCTTGATTTTTTTTCTTTCACTTATTTTCCCCTTTTATCTCTTGGAGGTGTCGGCTGTCGGGAGAGACCCCCGCGCCCATCGGCGGAGGAACTCCGCGACACCTGCGGCCTCTTGACCGGGAGAGAAACGCCGCTCGCAATCCCCCCGGGGGGGGGGTGGGGAGGTCGTGGTACCGATTCCACCGCGGGGGGTTTGCGAGCGTGGCAGGGGATCGAGGGAGCCCGGGGGTGTGCGCCTTCCCGCACGGAGCCTACGCGTCGACTCGTCGCGTCGTGTCGCGTCCGTGTTTGTTCTTCGCAGTGTTCGCTCGGTGTTCGTTTCGCGTGAGAAAATATTGGTCCAAATCGCACGCGTATCGCGTGTGTGTGCGTGTGCGTGCGCGGCTGATTGTGGCGTGTTGCGTGGGGATCGGTGGCGCAGCAGTTAGCGCCGCTGCGCTACGGACCCGACGGCCCGAGTTCGATTCCCGCCCACGGCCAACAGCGGTGACGAAAATCGGATCCAGTTCCTGGGTCTTCCCTCGTTCGACTCGGCTGTCAATGGGTCCCTGGTGCGATGTGCAAACATCGCCGCTCTCAGGAGACAAAATCTGCCGGGCCTGGTGCTGGCCACCCACCCCATCGTGTGCCGTGGCCGGCCTTCAGAGATGCTCGTTAACAGCACTTGCTCAAACGGTCTGCTAAGGCTATACGGGGGGGGGGGGGGGGGAAGGGGATCTTTGTCTTTGTGTGCTGTAATTGGGAGGCGAAAGGTGCCGTGTCACAGACTGGGCCGCTGGGGTCCGGGAATTTGGCCGGCAAGCCGGAACCCGGAGCTTGAGATCTTCACCTCCTGCGCAAAAGCAAAAAAAACTCTTTAAATCTGAATGTCACTCATCGCGCTGCTGCTGCTGCCGCTGTTGCTGCTGCCGCTGCTGCTCTTCGCCGCCGCGGCACCCTGCTGTCCATTTTAAGTTGTGCCCCGAGAACGACGTGGCTCAATGCCAGAGGCGGCTTGCCGGGCCAACACGGCCGCCAGCGCTGAGCCCGGTGCAAAGCGTGGGCTGCCAGTTTCGCCGGGCGCCGAGGAGCGTCGTTGCGCACGCGACCCCGGCGAATGGCGTCGCCTGTGTTCCGCCGGCGGTGGTGTTGTTGTTTCTTTTTTAAAGGAAGACGGCGTCAAAATAAAAGTGCAACTCGAGCACCACTCGTTGCAGCCGTCCGTCGCCGGAGGTGGCTCGGAACGGAGCGTGAAAACGTCGCTTTCTTGGCATGAGAAACTACCACACCACACACCTCCACTACCCCCTCCACGCCACCACCCCCCCCCCCCCCCCAACACCTTCCTCCCGCTCCTCGCAAACCCTCACGGGAGGTGCAGGAAAAGTGCCGCCGCGCAACTTCATCCGTTATCTTTCTCTTCAGCAGTGTCGCACTTGGTCGACCGTGACTGGAAATCAAAACTCGCTCTCATCGCCAACGATGGCTGGCTTAGTGACACTCGGGTGACCCTTGGAGTTTTATTTTTATTATTTTGTGACTGGTGGTTTTCAAACTGCTCTGGCCTCCGCCTCGATGCTGCCACCCATAGTTCCCGACCCAGCGCCACCATGCCCCGTGCCACCGTCATGCGCCACCGTGTGCCCCCACACCGTCGCAGCATGCGCCACTGTGGTAGGCACGCTCCTCCCATCGCCCACGCTCGTGAAAGGCAGTCGCGCAGGATTCACTTTGGATTGACGCATCGAGAAACTGACTCAGGTGGTTTGTTCCAACACCGCCCTCTTATACCGCTGCACTACCATACCCTCCACTATCATACCCTGCGCCGCCGTACCCTGCGCCGCCGCGCCTCCAGACCTCCTCCCTGCCCCTGGCGACAGACTCCAGCTATTCCTGGAGAATTCCCAGGCGTTCCCAGGCAAGCGGAGCGGCTTAGTCCCAGCAGCGGGTCCTGGGCCGGCCCCGGGGTCTTCGCCCAGTGGGACGTTGCTGCTGCTGCTGCTGTTGCCCGGTAGGGCTCCAGGGGGAGTCTACCGGGGGGCATCCTTACCAGGTGCCCGAACCACCCCAACTGGCTCCTCTCGATCCGGAGAAGCAGCGGCTCGACTCCGAGGCTCTCCCGGGTTACCGAGCTCCTTACCCGATCACGGAGAGTGGTGAGCGCGGCAACCCTGCGGAGAAACCTCATCTCGGCCCCTTGTACCCGCGATCTCATCCTTTCGGTCATTACCCGTAGGTCATTACCCATAGGTGATGGTGGGCATCTAGTTCGACCTGTAAACCGAGAGCTTTGTCCGACAACTCAGCTCCCGCTTCACTCGTCTAAGACCGATCATCTAAATCGGCATGAATGTTGGTTCACTGCACCTCAAAGACTCCGTACACTACAAGGCGTGTGACGAAGTTACGAGATGTCCCGTGTGTGTGCTCGGCATTTGAAGGCCTCGAAGGCCAGAATCGGTGATTTCGCCCACAATGTTCATCAGGGAGGCAGTTCCGCATCTGGACAGCAGAGTGACAGGGAGCTTCTGTGTCTGCAACGTGGAGTGTATAGAGTGCGTGTGAGACGTGGTGTGTACAGCGTGGTGTGTCTAACACTGCGTGTGAGACGTTTGGGGAGCGGTGGTGTAGCGGTTAGCGCGCTGCGCTACAAACCTGGCGACCCGGGTTCGATTCCCGCTCACGGCCAACATCAGTGACGATTATCTGAACCGGCCCTGGGCCTTCACTAGGTCAACTCAGCCTCAAAGGAGTACCTGGTGCGATGTGTAAACATCGCCACTAGAGAGACAAAGGCGGCCGGGCGTGGTGTTGGCCACCCACCCCCTCGTGTACTGTGCCGGCCTTTAATAGGTGCTCGCTAACAGCACTTGCCTTTACAGTCTGTTAAGGCTTTACGGGGGATTTTTGTGTACAACGTGGTGTGTCTAACACTGCGTGTGAGGCGTGTGGCCTGTGAATCGGGAGTCAGTGAGGCGTGGGGAGCCTTGGGGGAGGGGGGCGGCTGCCCTGTGTTGCCCCCCCCCCACGCGCAGCGATTTAGAAGTTCATTAACGCCCTTAATTAAAGATCGCGCAAATGCGTGACAGCGACTTTAATGATCGCCTCATTACGCCTGTCAAGAGCCTCTGATAAATCTGCCAGCCACTGCACACATTGTGTACACACACACACATAGTGTCGTAGCACGGGCGTGTCCCCCAAGAGGGGCCTCTCATACCGATGGGGATGGCTGGGAGCGGGGTCCGGGGAGCGGGGTCACCATGGGGTCACCATGGCCGTGTCGGAGGCGAGGCGCTGAGCCGGCACCGTTGAGGAGCATGGGTTCGTTCCATGCGGCCACGGGGAGATACACGCAAACTTCAAATATACAGCAGGGTCATGAACGAACCCACGACCTCCTGTGCACCAGGCGAGGTAGTTAACATCTCCTAGCCACCGTGATGATGATGAGAGAGAAACACGCAAACTCCACATATACAGCAGCAGGCGTCAGGGTCGGGATCGAACCCATGACCTCCTGTATACCAGGCGAGGTAGTTAACGTCTCCGAGCCACCGCCGCTCCGTGATGAAGCCTGGGAGCTGGAGTGGAGCGAGTTGACGAGGCTTTGCACACAAGTCACCAAGGACCACACGAGGACATAATTGCGTTTTGAGCGTCTTGTCCCTCTCTGAGGAATAAACAAAACACGGGCTTACTGTGCTATGCTGATGATACCACCGTGTCATCGTTCTAAAGTGGCTTTTTTTTCCATCGCTGTGCGCCGCTCTCCTCTGCCCCGGTCATTAATCGTGAGAGAGACCGAGTGAGAGAGGAAAAGTGTTTTACTTGTTCAAGGGGATTACGTCACCGTCCGTTTAAGTTCGCCGAATTGTCGCGTCCAGTTCGTTGTGTTTTGGCCGCGTCAAGGAAGCTGTTGCAGGTGGTAAAACATTAAAAGTGTTGTCGCTTCACGTGCCCCCCACCCGCCCCCCATCTCACCCCACTGGGGGTGATGCCACCTCCCAGTGGGCATTCTCTGACACACGGTGGTCCACTGCTCTCTGCCAGGGTCCCTCACCCACCCATTGGAATTTCTTCTGCGCATCGTTTGCTGCCCCCCCCCCCCGCGGCACCTCCGATCAGCACGGTTGGCTGCGTACGGTGCGATAGAAGTTCAACGCGCATCGTATCGCCCAACGCCGCCGCGTGTCGCCCAACGCCGCCGTGTGTCGCTCGCTTGCAGTCACTGGAAGAACGCGAACAGACGATTCGAGAATCACGTGACGGCGGCCGAGTTGAGGCCACCACGTGGCTCGTCTCGGGGTCTACCCCCTCGGGGGGGGGCACAAAAGAAGACGCCAACAAAACGCGACGTCTCTCGTTTGCCATCGCCCATGAATCATGCCACCCGCGTTGCACTGCACCGTCCCCCGACCTGGTGACACCGTGTGCCCCAGACCTCCCCCGGGTCGAATCTCTTGAAGGGGCGGTCGTGGTGGGGGGGGGGGGCAGAGACGGATCGGCAAGAAGTGGGGGGTTGCCCCCCCCCCCATCTCTACTTCTTTCCTCTCCGTCTGTGTCCCGGGGGCGGGGGGCGCTGTCGGCTCCCTCCCTGGCAAGGGAGACATCAGTCACAACGCGCGCTCTGAGCGGGGGGGGGGCGAGTGGCGCTTGCCGACTCGCCCGTAGCGACATGCTCCGCAGAGGACGCAAGTTGAACTTCTTTCGCACCGTGCGTAGCCAGCCCGTGCTAATTGGAGGTAAGTAAAGTACAACGTCATCATGATAATTATTATTGTTCGCACCGCTTATGAAGCGCGTTTCACCCAGAGGTCGCAAGGCACTGCACAGAGCTAACAGCAAGTTTAATAACTCACGTGATTCTGTAAGCAGGCGGGTTCGTGCGTTTACCACGGACACAACGACCCCCCTCGGCACACTCCCAACACAGAACGGAATTCACCCGAGGCCTCACAGCGGGTTATAGCAGCATCCCAGTAAAACAAAAAACTTAACATTCAAACTGAGAGGAAAACCACCCCTTACGGCTTCCACAGACGGATCCGCAAGAGAAACTAAACGTGGTTTCAGACGAGCGGATGATGATGAAGAGGATGATGAAGAGGATGAGGATGATGATGAGCATGATGAGCATGAGGATGATTGATGAGGAGGATGATGATGAGCAGGATTAGAATGATGATGAGAAAGGTGAGGAGGAGGATGATGATGAGGATTGATGATAATGAGGAGGAGGGAGGCCCCTCTCCCACATGACGCGTTGGGGGCACGGTCGCCGAGAGCCTGCGGCGTGCGAGGGAGCTCCAGGTGGAGGGGGCCGGGCAGAACGGCAGCGCCAGACGCGGGGGTTGCGGTTCGGGGCATGGGGCATGGGGGGTGGGTCGTGCTTGGGACTGGACGGCCCCTTCGTGTGATGGGGTTAGCGGGAAAGGCTGCGTCTCGTCGGCCCGTGGATTGCGAGTTCGAGGGGTGGCTGTTGGTTGCGTTGTTGGCTGGTGAGGTGGTCGAGGTGGAAGCCGGCGAGTGAGTTTGGGGTCATGGGTGGGGCTCGTGACTGGTTGGTTAATTTTGGGTCGGAGTGCAGCGAGTGTTGGGTCGGTCATAGTTTGGTGAGGATTATGACCATCGGGTCCAGTTGCCTCGTTTAGTCGGGGCTATGGTTGGGCCACTTGGCCTGTTCAATGCTAGAGACTCGATTGGACTACTGTGGTTAGCCACATTGAATATTTGTAAAATTGGTGTTACAGGCAAGGGTCGGAATTGGGGTCAGGGGTAGGACTGGTTGGCTTGTTCGCTCCGGCTTCCAGCATTCCAGGTTGTTCGAGCTGCTCACCTCTGGTTCGCTGTTCAGCCGTGATTTAATCCCACCTGTAAAGGATGCGATTCGTGCCATGCAGTACCCTGGTGTCTACAAACTGAGCTGTGGTTGCGGCAGCAGCAGTTACATTGGGGAAACGAAACGACGTATCTCGGACCGCGTCCGTGAACACAAGGCGGAGCTGAAACACGGTAGGACCAATACCTCAGCCGTTGCTGATCATTCTTTTAACGCTGTGGGCTCACGCGAAATACATTTTCCCAAGACGGAGGTACTCTGCAAACCTACCGGCTCCCTTCAGAGATTTGTTCATGAAGCCATCCAGATATATAAACACAGACACAACTTCAACCGAGAGGATGGGTACAATCTGAGCAATC